GGTGCACAAGTGAAATGGCATTTTCAGTTTAGAGATGGGAAATTGTCTTATTAGACGAGTTCCTATATACGCTGGAAATTTGCTCTGATTTGTTAACCAAAATGATACTGGATTTCGACCTTGATGGCTTGATCTTTACATACTTGTTTCCAAATATTATTTCCTGTTGGCAAATGACCTGAGATCAACTGCTAATTACCAAACACTTGAGTATTGAATAGTATTGTTTTATTACCAAGAAGAGATTGTGCTATTTGTCGAAAGCAGATTCCTGGAAGTATGGCAAGAGAGCCTCGAATGAACTCAGCTATTGTTATGACCATTTAGGATGGGTAAATTTTCCCAGGCAAATGTTTCAGAAGGCATCCCAAAGGTCTATCCATTTATCCGCAACCAAGATCGTCCACACAATGCTTTCACTACTGAGCGTGCACGAAAAGCTGGGCATGCAGTGGGAAGATATTTGTCACAGTTCCTCTTGATCATTTTGGTCCAATTACAGTGGAGAATGACCCAGAAAGAAAGCTGGGAGTCTTGGTTGGGGAAACATTTGAAGATCGGATGGAATGCAGGCAAGCAATGGGGTGCCACTTTCCTCATGTTGCTGGAGTCTGTGGTCAGGCAGATCATGATGCTCAGTCAGTTGCTATGCTTGGAGGTTATGAAGATGACCAGGATCATGGGGACTGGTTCCTCTACACTAGAAGGTATGTTAAGTAAATTCCTTGTAACTTTTAGTTGTCAATGAGAAAGTTACTGAGATAACTGTGAAATATTATCTCATATTATTGCTACAATTGAATTTAAAGTGGGTAATCTAACGATTGTAAGTTTTTATTAGGAATGTTTCTTTTTGCAATATATTCTGTTTGAAGCCTGGAAACCTTTTTCTTGGATTTACAATTTTTGTACGTTTAGTTAGTATTATTTTCTATTGTTGACAGTTGACACACCATTGTCAACTCTTGCTTTACTCTTGTTCAAGTAATTCTCTTTTGTTGTGACTTGTGTCTAAATAATGTCAGTTTGTATCTTAGCAAGGCTTAACGGATGTGTACGTTGTTACTATCACTGTACTTTGATGGGTTTTAATAATCCATGGATACATGTTCTGATTCCAGTTAGTAACCATGCAGCTTGTCGTAATATTTCAAAATTATCTTGTGAACTACTTTATTAATTGTCATTTTTTTTGTGTTCTCTTTCTTTATTTTCTTTCAGTGGTGGACGTGATCTTAGCGGGAATAAAAGGATAGACAAGATACAGTCTTTCGACCTGACGTTTAGAAAAC